CAACTAATTATCATTAGACTATAAGTAGACTGTTAGGTTGGGGTTAGTCTAAACTGACATGTACTTGCAAAGTTTCTTATAGTCAGTTAAATGTCTGTCGAAGGAGCAGTATCAGCAGATATTAAGCAGACAGTCTACTAATGCTCAAATGGACCATCAAAATAAAGGGTTATCCAACAAACAATTTAAAAACAATTCAGTTGAAATTCATATTTATCAGTGAATCATTAAGTGCAAAACACAAAATATTAAAGCCCATGAAATTAATCAAAGTTTTGTCACATCAAACTTGAGTTCCTCAAACTTGAGGCCTTTTTGAAGGACAAAACATAGTTAAAAATATATTTTTAATGTGTGTTTCCTGTAGTAACTCTGAGGTCATTGGCTTATATATGTGGTTCATTCTTTAGCAGCCGCTTCTGTCATGACGGTCAATGTGGTCATGCTCGCAATGTTCCTGATGCGTTTTTCTTCTCTGAATCTAGACTGGGTGAAACTCGATTAGCTGAGAGAGCCAATGAGTCTTTATGGCAGCTGTCACCTTCCATTTACCTCATAAGACCATTGATCATGCAGACTTATGGAATGAGATATTAACACTGCAAGATGATCACACGATGGCTGCGTTTGTGTGTTGCTGCGTGCATGTGTAACTCTGTGTCTGTTAGATTGGCGAGAGCGGAAAGTAAGAGACACCATCTGGTGTGAATAATTCTTATAGAGGACATTTATATTGGTGACATAATGAAGTGGAGATTGAGCCATTATCTTTGTCTGTATTTCTAAACCATGCCAAATTATTCAAGAGGGTTCTGGGAAGGCCTGCCGTATATTATATACAGTCCCAGCTGCAGAGAATGAACTCAAACTGCCAAACTACACAGTTGTATAGATTTCCATTATGATGTTCATCGTTTCTCATTCAGATCTTTGAGTTTGACCAATCGGTCATTGGTCTTGGTGAGTTTTTAGATATAGATATTGGTTTTACAACTATAAATCGATCAATATTTTTATCTTAAAATTGTTGGTTCTCAGTTCAATACTAAATTCAATACTAAAAACTATCAATATATATATATATATATAATGTTTTAAACATTACATTGCTGCATAACAGAAATGTATAAGAAATTTGCATGCAGATTTAAATATCAGGTATTAACTGATATGGCTCTCCAATATCCAATATAATATTAAAATATTGAGCATATATCACTGATGGATTTTTTAATTGTTGCCATAGTATATTTCTTTTAATTTATCTATGATAAGCAATCTAATTTTCACTTTAATAAACATACTCTACGTTTTAATAGATTTAAGCGGTATGCAAATTGAGATCACCCTAAATGTCTATAAGATGCTTAAAAAAACCCTGCAAAGCTACAGTAATGTTCTAAATTTTAGGTCAGTTTTTATGTGTAAAAACCCTGTAAAATCAGGATGCTTTCAAATGCAATGCATACATACATTTTATTTATCAATTCACTTTTATTAACTAAATCAAATGAACATTTGGTTGGATCACACTTGGTACACTTGCCTATAGTTTTCCAGGTAGCTTTGCAGGTATGTTGCCAAAGTGCTTCTGGATTTAGTTTGTCTTAGTTTGTTCTGTTTCTTCATGTACTTCCAGAAAGAAGAATATAGATTAATACACAGACTCCATATCTCCCCTAACTGCAGACATCTATTTAAACCTTCTAATTCGCCTATGTGTTTACAATGTAAAACTGATGTCGGTAATTTAACGCATTTTGGTCTTTGGTGCTAGGGGAAATAGAAAAGATCTTTAACATGCCATTGGATTTTGACCCAGTTTCATTGATTTTAGGTATACCTGATGGTTGCATAAGAACATGTATAATATATTAACCGCCAGAAAAAATATTTTACTTAATTGGATTAGTGATAAATCTCCTTTACTTAAAGGTTGGCACAAGATATTTTTGAGTTGATTCCCCTGGAACAACTTATCCATGTTTTACACACACACAAAAAAAAACAGAATTTTTTTTCAAAGTTTGGACTTCATATTTTTATTATTTGTAACATAGTATTTGCCCTATGATGCTTCAAGAAATATTGTAACTGTATTATTATCTGAAAAATAAGCAATGTTTTTTAGCCATTTTTCCGATCTGTTTTATGTGGAGTAGTCCAGTTTTATGTGTAATCTGAACTTTTTCTTTTTTTTTTTCTCTCTCTCTCTGTTGTTTTGTGTTGGTATTTTTCCTTGCATGTCTTTTGAATATGTTTTATGTCTGTATTGTGAAAATCCAATAAATATAATAAAAAAATTATATATATATATATATATATATATATATATATATATATATATATATATATATATATATATATATATATATATATATATAGATAGATAGATAGATAGATATATATATATATATATATATATATATATATATATATATAGATAGATATATAAAGACTGGAAGGTGATCACATCAGATCTCTGGAGAACTGGATGTTGTCAGACTCTTTGTGGAGACAATAATCTTACTGTAAAATTACAATTAATGACAAAATAATGTTTGGAAATGTAAACTGAATATCGAAATTATCGACTTTAAACCTTTTTGGGGGGGAAAACTAGTGGCCGGACATTTGCACAGTACTGTAAATTCACCAATTACGTAGAACAGTGTTTCTCAACCATATTTCTGGAGGGTCACCAGCTCTGCACATTTTTTATGTCTCTTTAACCAAACACGCCTGATTCAGATCATCAGCTCATTAGGAAAGACTGGAAGACCTGTGTTGGGTGTGACAGACAAAGGTGACATCCAAAACATGCAGTGTTGGTGGTCCTCCGGGAATGTGGTTGAGAAACACTCACCTAGATTATGTAGAATTAAATTTGAAAATAGGTCAGTATGAATAAATCAAAACTCAAAAATCGTCAGACAACATATATGCAATGGATTGATGTGTCCAATACATAATATTGGCCAAAATGAATAAATCACAACTGTAATTTGCTGACAACTTGTATATGAGAGCATATATCTGACACCCGTAATGGTACAGTAATAGCAGATGTACTTTATCATTGTTCTAGAATATGCAAAACTAAAAATCCAGTATCATGTGAAATGGATAAAGCTCTAACATTGGCTTCAGCTTATATTGTACCAGTATATTTTTTCCACTTAATTTAAGACTCAAATGGGGCAGTTGTCCCTGGTATAAACATTGACAATCAATAACAAGTTTAAGTGAGTGTTAAGTGAGGCCAGTTTTTGTCTTTGTTCGTGTTTATTTAGGTTTGCTATGCTTTACGCAATGATTCAGTACCGGTTTTGCTTACTGAGGGCTGAGCCATGCTTTCACTGTTAATGCCTCCAACACACACACGCACAATGCACATGTGTGGATGGGCTCCCCTCTGCTGGCTTGACTAATTGGCTGTGCAATGCTGAGGGAGGTGTTTAGAGTCAGGGTTGTGCAGCTGCAGTCTCGTAGTGATAAATCAGTGTTCCTGCTGATCTATGAGCCTCTGTCTGCTCGTACGCAACGGCCCGTCCCCGCTCAACACCTGTCTTGTTCCCTCACCGACACGCATGGTGTAGGCAGTACTTAAAAGCCAGAATTTTGTGTTTTTTCCTCTCTCTCTATTTCACGTTTTTGGAGGCCAAGTTAAATTTGAAAGTCTAATTAAACCTGGAAATAAATGAAAAGTTAAGGCTTTTGTGAAATAAACAGAAATATGTCAGGTTATATCAAAAATGATTGTGCATTATTTTAAATGCCCTAAATTTGTAGTTTTTCAAAGGTCAAAAAACATGTAATATTCTTATAATGTACACTGCAGGATCAACTCTTATCTCAGAGTGTCTGAGGCTCCATTTACAGTAATACGTTTTAGTTTTAAAATGCATAAGTTTTGCTACGGTTATGCCATCCATCCACACTACGCCGGAGTTTCGAGCCCCGAAAACCGGAGCTACTCGACACATTATAGACCTTTTTCTTCATGGTGCTTGGAGGGCGCCATTTGACCAGCACCTTCCAGTAGGGTGCTTAGAAAGTCCATTAAGAATTGTCATTGTTTTCAGTGCCTTACTGAGGGGTTTTGTAATGCAAAACTTTATTTTTTTTTGTGTTAATTTTGTTATACCTCTGTCAGATGCAGCTCAAGTTTGAGAGAAAAACGTTGTTCTAATTCAGTGTCTGCTGTCAGATCAGATGCTGAAATATAGTGTCAGTGTTCCCGACCTGTCTTTTGTTATAATGTACACAATGCACACACACACAATTATAAAGAGCAAACCATATTACTGGCATGAAACTAGAAGGTTTGTAAGCCATGCAAAAATGACCAAAAAAAGTACATTACTGATACTATTCTGGCTGATTTGCATGTTGATTCTGATCGGGAGCAGTTTATTTTTCATTGAATTTGTGTGCGTGTGTGTGTGTTAGTGTGTGTGTTAGTGTGTGTGTGTGTGTGTGTGTGTGTGTGTGTGTATGTGTGTGTGTGTGTGTGTGTGTGTGTGTGTGTATGTGTGTGTGTGTCTGTTTGTGTGTGTGTGTGTGTGTGTGTCAAACATTTTGGTGAAGTACACTTGTTTGGGTTGGTTATATATTTGAAAGAAAGAGAAAATGTTGACTTTAGCAATGATGAGGCTTAATTTAAACCATCTGACAACAAGGAAAAATACCTCAGCATTCGTTTTCCATCCTATTAGATCGCATTTTTAAAATAATCAGTCCAGGAGGTGGCGCTGATCGACAGCAGTATTAGTTCAAAGACGTTAAAAGCAATTAAAATAGATTAAAACTATCGTTTCAAAGCTTTCCGAATGTGACTCTTTAAACACATCAGCTGCCGACCGAAAGTTCAAAGCATCCTCTAAACTCATATTTCTACAATATCATCTCTGACATGTTTAGAACTTGCATAAATGTGTGTCTCTTTTGCATAATTTAATGAAAAGGCATTGTGTGTGTGTTTTTTTCTGTGTCATTAGGTTCATTCAGGAGATTGAGTCCCGTATGGGTCCAGCTCAGGCTAAGCAGTGTCAGCTCCGCACATTCCTCACCTACTACATCAATGACCTGTTCCTCAGTCAGGTCCGCACCGAGACCAATAAGGAAATTGAGGCTGTGACCAAAGCGTCTGATCCGCTGAAGATCCTGGCCAACGCTGACACCATGAAAACCCTGGGCGTTCAAAGACCACTTCTACAGGTAGCTTTTTTTATTTGATCCCAAAAGAAACTTAATTTTTTTAAACACATATAGAAATATAAGCACTATTTTTGGCTTCCTTGTTACTTCTTCCTTTCATTAGAGCATCCATTCATTAGAGCATTCAAACAGTATTTGCCTACCGGTCAAGTGCACAAAAGCCCGGTCCGATTGTTTTCTCTTCTGAATTACACAGAAGAGTGTGGTTATTTTTTGCTCTTCTCCTTCACTCTCCTGAGAGTACCGATAAAGGCCACCTACCCCCCCTATCACCCTACATCATAATTGGAGCTGAAATTGTGTTTGATCCTGGCTGACCTGGAATCAGCAGTTAAGTGCAGCTCATATAACACACAGTGCACCGCTGCGGAGAACAGCTGCCAGCTGTCCATCTCTCCCATGGCTGTTTCCTGCCGGCACAGGAAGTCCAACCTTTTATTACCATGGAGACTGCTGGATGTGCTTAGTTCATCAGTTAAGGGACTTGCTAGCTCACTTCGCTCTATTATCAGTATTTGCTTGTTTTCTTTTTCCCCTGAGTGTTCTTTGCAAGATAAATGTTATATTTATTTAGTGCATAATATATAATTGTAAGTGAGATATATTTTATTTTATTTTATTACATTTATTTTGTTTTGTTTTGCTTTATTACATTATACTATATTTTATTTTACTATGTTATATTGAATTTTATTTTATTGTATTATAGTTTATTATATTATTTTTATTATATTATATTTTATTTTATTATATTATATTTTATTGTATTTTATTATATTTTTTATAATATTTTTATTTTATTTTATTTCATTATATTATATTATATTTTATTTTATTATATTTTAATTTTATTTTAGTGGATAATGTTATATTTATTTACTGCATAATATATAATTGTAGGTGAAATATATATTATTTTATTTTATTTTGTTACATTTTATTTTGTTTTGTTTTGTTTTATTTTTTATTATTATATTATATTATATAATATTTATTTTATTATATTTTATTATATTATATTTATTTTATTATATTTTATTATATTATATTTATTTTATTATATAAAATTTTATTGTATTTTATTTTATTACATTTTATTTATTTTTTTATATTATATATATATTTTTTTATTTTATTTCATTATATTATATTTTATTATATTATATTATATTGTGTTTTATTTTACTTTATTATATATATATATATATATTTTACATTATATTATATTATATTATATTATATTATATTATATTTTATTTTATTGTATTATATATAATTATATTATATTTTATAATGTTATATTTTGTGTCGTGTTGTGTTGTCATGTTATAATATTTTAATTTAGTTTACTTTATTTTATTATGCAATATTTAGATTTATTGCCCTGAAGAAGTGTGTTCTTCTAAAGACATTTTTACATTTTAATAAATGAAATGTATTTTAATTAACTTTTAAATATAAATTTTATTAGAATATTAGATTACATTCTAAAATAAAATACTATTTATGTCACAAAGTTAATTTAGTACATTGGGATAATTTTAACACTAGATTTTTTATTCTATTTTTTTTTGTTTAGATTTTATTTAGCAAAAGTTTTATTAATATTTTTGTTAGTTTTTTAATTACATCTGTTTTAATCAAGTTTATGTGAATTTTTTAATTCAGTTCCCAAGTAGCTTCCACAATTTGAGTTGCCTTTACCAGCGATTTCTGAGTAAAATCGGTTTCAAAGTATTTTTTTCCCGCAGTGTAACCGATAATGCCTCTTATGTTTATCTGCATTCCGGTCGTATGCGTGTGCAATTGTGCATGCGCATCTGAGTTATTTCAATGTCTTCCTGCGCTTAGAGTCCATGATCTGGTCAATTAACCTCACGAGAAGCTCCCTTTACAAGCAGACGAAGGCAAGAATCCACTAACGTTGAGTGTGATGAGTTTAGCTCTCAGATGAAAGCCGTAATGGGCTCCTTTTACTCTTTAAACTGAAACCTGTCATCTCCAAGTCTTAGCATCGCTTTCATTTTGAGAACAGTGGCAGTTCATTACAGAAGGGAAGGCACGGAAAGCTCACAGCCATTTGTTTACGATTATGATTTCTCCTTAACGAGGACTGCGGCATCTTGCTAATTACCCTGCTGGGCTAATGAGCGACTCTCCGGATAGCGGGAGCTCCATAAAATGCTCTTTTGTTTGGGCTTTCTTTTCGTTTTAATTACCTTCAATCTGAGGTGCATCAGCTTTGCTCCTGACAGCCCATGCGGGGCGTCCCATCCTGACCCGGCACTTTGTACTGTTTTGTAGAAGCGTTTCTTGGGTCGTGCTCTGTATGTGTTTGAGAGTTTCTCTCTCTTCCAGGAGCTGTTTAATGAACTCCTTGGTGAAGAGCTTTAGTGATGTTCAGAGTTGTTTGTCTTGTCAAGTGTGCATTTGTGTGTGTTTATTTGTGCCCGTCTTCACGAAGTGTCTGTTGATTTTGCAGTCATGTGGAATGAATTTAAGCAAAGTATTCGGAAAGCATTTGTTCAACGTCCAAAATGAACATTTGCCAATCGCCAAATTGGCATTGGCTTTGATGAATATATAAATTTTTACTCACCAAATGGTCTGTTACATTTCAAGGAACTTTACAGGTTTTTTTTAATGAGAAATTGGCTGAAAATCTACCAAAGGTGGCAAAAGCTTATGCGTAATATGAGATGTGCCTTGATCAAGTTACAAGTTTTTCAAGTTTTAAGCTCGCCATGACTGCTTTTAGTTTAGTTTAGTTTAGTTTAGTTTAGTTTAGTTTAGTTTAGTTTAGTTTAGTTTAGTTTAGTTTAGTTTAGTTTAGTTTAGTTAAGTTAAGTTTAGTTTAGTTTAGTTTAGTTTAGTTTACCTTTGCATTTAGTTTACGTTTAGATTGTGTTTAGTTTAGGTTACGTTACATTACGTTACGTTATGTTTACGTTTACGTTTACTTTTAGTTTACGATTATGTCTAGTTTAGTTGAGTTTAGTTTGTGTTTAGTTTACGTTTGCATTTAGTTTAGGTTTAGTTTAGTTTAGTGTTTATTTTCAATATTTTGTATTTTATTTTTTTTTATATTCTTATATTTTATGCTTTGTTTTGTTACTTTTAATAAACTGTATTTTGTTAATGTTAGATTTAATATTTTTGTTTTAATTTGATTTGATTTGTTTTGTTTCTTTCAATATGTTGTATTTTGTTATATTGTTATATTTAATGTTTTTGCTTTTATTGGATTTTATATGTTTTGTTTTGCTACTTTCAATATATTGTATTTTGTTATATTGTTTTGTTTAGTTTTTTTGTTTTGTTACTTTTATTATGTTGTTTTTTGTTATTGTTTTGTTTTTTGTTTTGTTTTGTTACTTTTAATATACTGTATTTTGTTATATTGTTATATTTAATGTTTTTGTTTTGCTTTTTGATAAGTTTTTTTTTGTTTTGATTTTGTTTTAATTTGCTACTTTTAATATACTGCATTTTGTACTTTTTATTTTACTTTCAATATACTTTTAATGTAATATATTTTAATTGTATTTCAATATATTGTATTTTTATATTGTTATATTTTTTTGTTGTTTTGTTCTACAACTTTCAATATATTGTTATTTATTTTTATTACTTTCAAAATATTATTTTTAATTCCATTTTAAATGTAGTTTTTTTAATAATAGTAATATTACTAATGCATTAAATTTATAAAAATAGATTACACCTTAAAATATAATAATTAATACAATAAAAAGTTGGATTAATTTTTGACTATTTTGATAACTTTTTTATCATTGCTTATAAATTTATATAACTATATAAATATATTATTGGATTATGATTTCATACTAAATTTATATTGTATATAAATATTAAAAAGTTTTTTTTATCTATTTAATTCATGTTATTTATAATTTAATTAATGATTTCAGTTAAAAATGAAAAAAATAATGTAATTTGAATTTTTGTAATTTAAGTCCACCCCTGTGCATTATTATATGCTCATAGCAAGGCTGTAAAAGCAAAATTCATACAGTTTTTTAGAGAACATTTCATCTAAAGTTATTTCAGAACTATAAAACAAAAGTTTTCAAGCTCCAGGAATTCAATGGACGGGCACCACTGAGAAAGTACCGAGCTAAAATTGACCCTTCTCTCCAGATTGTCTATTGCCTGTGTGATGCATTGTAGACCAAATGGAGGAGGCAAATGATGCTTAAAGTAGTGCTCTCCTGTGGTCAGGGAAATGATGACGGAGAGACGGGGCCGTGTGTGTGTGTTTATGGGTGCATGTCTGTGTACGGCTGGACTGGTACAGCAGGTGTTTTATGAGAAATCAAGCCTGGGAGAAGTGGAGCATTGATCCGTGGGGAACAGGGCTTTTCTTTTAGTTTCACAACATTAAATATACTGCTCTTCGCCATCAGGAACTATGTTAACTCACACACCCGTAAACAGACACTTCAATTTACCTACAACACTAGCGAAGGAGGAATCTCAGGACAGATTTAATGTCTGTTGTTTTGTCAGCATTTTAAGGCTTTTAAAGTTTTAGTTTGTGTCATCTTTCTTGGTTTGTGACTTTAAAAGCCAAGCTAAAACAGAAAAAAGCCACGCTAATTAAAATGCAGCCACAAAATGAATAGTTGCTTGATACTAAAATGGCACTGATTTATATGCATTTGTGAAATTATAATGAGGAAATGACTGAATATAATGGATAATGAATTCATAAGAGCAATCATTATTTAAGTAGTACATTTATTTTAGTTATAAAAATGTAAATTAAACGAAATGTAAATGTGAACAAAAGCCAATAACAATCACAAAATGGAGTTCAGTTATTTAAAACACACTGCAATTCATAAACTAGCTAAAATAACTTGTATATTGACATATATTTAAAAAATCTTATTAAAATTACATGTAATATTGTAATATAAAAATGTCGAAATTCATTATTCTCATTACTAGTATTAGTATTCTTCTTGCTCTTTTTC